TCCAATTGCAGCCAAATTGAAGGCTTTGGATCCTCACTTGTTGTATAATACTGGAGTGATTACAGGGCCAGAGCTCTTGGTAGTGACACCTCCTCTCTGAGCAGTTTCCTGCTGCTGCTCAGCTCCAAGTGGCCACAGACAACAGCCCCCTTGCTTCTGTTTGGATGCTCCAGAGTCCTTCCATTCAGGGACAGGTGCTCAAGAAGAGGTGGGGTTTAACATGTGGCATGCTTGCCAAAATGGTTGGCCACCACTGCTGTAATCATATCTCCTTTCAGCTACCTCATGGAGAATGCCAAACACTTCAAGTCTTGTATTGCAAGCTTGAATCACTACTTCAAAAACACCCCTCTTCTATAGTACTATCCCTTCCATAATCAGATTGTATCTGAAGCAATTTGGGCTCCTTGCCCAGGCTACCTTGTTCAGAAAGCCTTTCCAGAACTTTACTCCTCTGATGCTTTGAAACCTTCTTTTCATTTCCAGTCTAAATTTATCCAGGACTAATTTGTACCCATTTGATTTTGTGCCAGTATTATTTAACTGAAATAGTTCTTCCCTTCCCTGGTACTCAGCCTCTGAATGTATTCCTAAAGAATAATCATATCCCCTCTCAACCTTCTTTTGCTCAGCTAAACAAATCAACCTGCTTTAATTTGTTTTCACAGAACAGATTCTACATTCCCCAATTATCCTAGTAGCCCTTCTTGGCATCTACTCCAGTTTAAATGAATCATTTTTGACATAGGCAACCAAAACTGTAGATAACAATTACCAGTCTTGTGTAATACTCATACCAGTCTTGTGTAATACTCATACTCCTTTCTCTCCCCCCCCCCCCCCCCCCCCCCCCCCCCCCCATTTTAGAATTACTTTAGTTTTCTTCTTAGCTGTATCATGCTGGCAGCTCATCCAATACGCCCATGTCCCTTTTCTCCTCTGTCACCTCCAACCTATTTGCTTCCAGATTATAGTTGAAGTTTTTGGTATTAGTTTTTAAGTGAACACTTTTGCACTTTATACTGTTACATTGCATGTGCTTTATGTTATTCCAGTCCACAAGATCATCCAATTCTTCCTATTTGATCATTTATTTCTCTTCAGTATTGGTGAGACCTCTCAACTTTGTGTCATCCACAAATTTCAAAAAGTACATGTCTGCCTCTTACACTGTCTGTAATAAAAAATACTAAAAACAACGTAACCTAAGACTTTCCCTTAAGAATATCAATTGCAAATCCTCCTGGTGTTATCCTGATAACAGAAGAACTCCCTTTCAGTAAAACTTAATGTAGGCCGTGTCCAGATGAGTGTGGCCATGCAGTATGTGGTACCGCAAGCCCATCTGCAGTACCACACACTGCACATTAAGGCATTAGCCACACTGCCACCTTGCAGTGCGGTGGCGGGGCTGACCCTGGGAGATCCCAGGGTCAAAAAAACCTGTGCAGAAAAAAAGTAGCCCCAGCCTCCCCTACCCTACCCGGGGTAACTTACCACATGCCAGAGAGTGCATGGCATGGGCATTCCCCGGGGACAAGCAGCAGTGGCAGGGGGTGTGTCCCTGCCACTTGTCCCCAGGGAACCAAATGTCCACCCCCATCTGGACACAGCCATAGTGTCCCACTTAGCCCACTACTTCTCCACCTTAAAGTTATAGTATTAATCCCCACGTTCTTCTCCTAGGTTAAGGATTTCCCATGAGGCACAGTATCAAATTCTTTGCTTAAATCTAAATAGATTAGGTCCACTGCACTGCTGTTTTCTAAGTCAGTTATCCTCTCAGAGAACTATATTAGATCAGTCTGACATGATCTTCCTTGAATAAATCAATATTGCATTTTATCCTGTTTTCCTCCATGACTATTTGACTATTCTTTCCTTCAAAATCTGTTCTCAGATAGTATTAGGTCAAACACATGGGACTATCATCGCCCAGGTCTTTCCCCGCACTTTTTTTTTAAATACAGGAACTATTTTTGCTATTCTCTAGTCATAGGGTACCACCCCAAATTGAAAAAATTATCCCGGAGCTGGTGTCACGGGCCATTCCTTGCAGTATCCAGGGATGGAGATTATCTAGGCCCCCTTGATTATTACAGTAAGCAATCTAATTTTCTTCTAGCTCATATGTAGTAACTTCTATTATCCTATCCTATCCAATCCTATCCTAATTCCTATTAGGTACCATACCATTACCCTCACATGCAGCCTTGTCCTTATTGTAGACTGAGGCAAGCTATTCTTTTGGTACTTGAGCTATAAATAGAATGATCTTTAACTTCCACCCCTTCTTCAGTTTCAGTGACTGCACTTCTTGCCTCCTACTTCGGTTTTTATATGGCTAAAGAACTATTTGCTAGTTGCTTTAATTTTCTTTGCTAGGTCCAGCTCAACTAGGCATTTAGGACCAGATCCAACTTAGTCATACATGTGCCTATACTTTGTCACTGGGACACCTAACACTGAGACCCGCTTGTTCCAGGAGGGACACTTTGACTGGCTTTAGGCACCAAGGTTCTTTATCCAGCAAAACTGAAGTAAACAGATGCTTAACAAAGCAAGTCCAGAAAGCCTAGAGTTATCTAGAGGTAACCACTAGGGCATGCTAAGCACTTACATTTGTCTGAACTCCCACTTCTCAGGAGCTTATTCAGGCACCTCTATTGACTTGAGATCTAGAACGCCTAGTCGCCCTCCAAATGATAGGCACCTTACATGGTGAAACTGGCCACCTTTTCCACATTAACTTAGTGACTAGAGCACTCATCCAGAAAGTGGGATATTTGGCCTCTAGACCCTCCTCCTCCTGCTGAGATTCAAACTCATATCTCCCCCTCCTCAAGAGAATGCCCTTACCACTAAACTAGAGAATGTCCTGTTAATGCTAGGCCATTGGACACCCAAGAATATCAGTCACAAAGCCAGAAGGAGAACGAAAAAGATAGAGCCTGACTCTGTAGCATAGTGGTTAGGCCTCAGTCTGGGGGAGAGGGCTTGGGGTGCAGACCTGGGCTCTGCTTCTAAAGCTACAGCTATTGCCGTGTTTTTTAACCAAAGAGAGTCTCCTTTAAAGTTCATAAACAGTCATTAGGCCACCATGAAAAACAGTTCAGTTCCTGAGGTTTACCTTCCACTTAATCCAGCTAAGATTGGGGCAGTTAACTATGTTGAGTGCTAAAACTCTGTCCCCTTTGTCCTGCAGTAAATTTCTTATACAGTCACAGGTTTTTCACTGTTATGTCTCTATGTTTAAAGAGATCTTGGATAACAGGGTAATGTATAGTCAGTTTCCTCAATTTCTCCAGCCTCAGAATTATTGAAAAAGTATTATGGCTAACCATTAACTAGCACAAGAACAATAAAACAAAAGTCAAACAATGTCAATGGACTCCTATTAATCCATAGCATATAGAAATGCTGCCATCTTGTGACAATTTCAAGGAATCTTGGTACATTCATTGCATTCAAACAAATAGCTGAAATAAAATGTCCCACGGTATTTCCGTTTCCTATGACACAGCAGCACAAAACTCATCGGTTTCCCTCTACAAGGGTTCATGTTATCACTTTCTTCGCTTTTCATTTGTTTGTGCTGAAAACGCAGGTTGAGTTTGAGTTCAAACTCAAATGAACCTCCAAGGGAAAACAACTACACTCATTTGAAAGCATCAAGTCTTCCTGGGTTTGTGCTGAAATGTTACAAGTTAGTCAGGACACAAAAATATTCACCAGCCCAGCTTGCCTTGAAAGCTTTGTGAACAATTTCTCAACAATTTCAAGCTTAGAATGAAGCAAAAAACCAGGTGACTTTTTCCTAGCTGTCAATTTTTGTTACAAACATTGCACATAGTTCTGATAGGAAGCAAATTTTTAGGTTTGCTAAAATGTTCTTTATTCTGCCTAGATCAGATATTTTGAGATGCTGAGTAGTCACAATTCATCATTTTGAGTGTTTGGTCTTCCTGAAAATTAAGGCCTTATGATTTCATATACATTTTACTGAATGAAATCAAAATCAGTGAACAATTTAATGTACAGACTGGGATGTATGCGCTGTCAACTTTATTTAGTAAGTATATAGCAACATTCACAAACACTAAAATGGGGGAATTCTGTATCTTCAAATAAACAGAACAGAAACATGCCATACAATACGTAAGTGTCATAAGTTTACTGACTCCATAAATTATCCCTTTGGTTTCAAAACTTCGCATCACCAGTTTAGTGTGACTTGTTTTGCTATAAACCTTTCTTTCTTTTTACATTTGTAGGCACTCCTACTGTCAATAGATTTTTTACTATAACCAGAACAATGAAGCAAAACTATGGGGCCAACCTGAGTCTAAATTAATGCCTTTTCACCCGTTCGGGCACAGATTCACTGGCTTAAATTCAGAACAATGGATAAAAGATGCAGTTGACATATTGATAAACAGGAAGGAGTTAAAATGTATCTAATTTAATTTAAAGAGTCAAAGGCCTGATGTACACCACTAAAACAGTTTGGACTATGGCTATGATTTTTTTAATTGGTAACTGTTTTCATACTAGGCATTTTACTAGCTTTAACTACATTGGTACAGTTAAAAAAATACAATCTGTATGCCTTAAGAGAACCTAAACTGTTATAATTTACACCCTGAGGACAGTGGAAGTGCAAATATAACAGCTTAGACTCAGCTCTCAATTCAACCTATAACACCTATTTCCCAAATTTACCATGACCAGTTTTTAATTTCAAAGTCAGACAGGTGCTATTAAAATATTAACAATATTAACAGTAGCAGATTAATATGATTTAATTGGAGTCAGAGTGCGTTTGCGCTATATCTCCAATGTGCCCAGGATGAGCTTTCCCTTTTTCCCCATTTGTTTTCCAAGCTACAATCTGAAGCGTTCCCAGCAACAACAACTGACAATCGAAGTGGAAAACAACTCGTGTTTAGCCTAGAAATGCACCAGATTCTGTATTTTACTTTATTGAGGACTATACTTACTGGGGAAATATTCTTCATTGATGTCTCCTGCAGAAGCCTTAGTGTTCTCAGAAGCTGTAATTCTGTGTTGGCCTGGTTGGGACAAGAGGCTGCAGGATGTTTGGAGGAACCAGTTAAGGGATTGGCCCAGAAAAAGCAGCAGTGATGGCAGCAGAAACAATGACAGCAGTGAGCAAATGGAGAAGGCCGGGCAGCCAAAGCTCCACAACAAGATGATTTGCAATTCCCATAAAGTCCAGTGTCCAGGGAGACCGATTTTGTGAGATGGCCATGCCTATGGAATGGAGGATCAGGCCATTGATTTTTTTTTTTCACTTCGGTTGAGTCAGTTTGAATCAAAGCATCTCTATGCTCCTTGAGATTTTCCTTCAAAGTGCCCAGCTCTGAAATAATTACATGCTCACCCTCAGAGTATTGTGACCTGTCGGATGTGCATTCTAAAGGCTGAGCTTTAGCAAAGCCTTCACTCAAAGGAACATTTTGCATAGTAGACACCAGCTGTGATGACATCTGAACCGTAACAGATTTAAAAGGATTAGTATTAATTTTTAAGTTTTGACTGGGGTCATCCTTTTCTGGCTCACTGGCTGCTAAAATCTCATCCAAACAGCATGTCTCTGAGCTTTCATAGGAACTAAATTCAGGTCTTTCTTCTAGGCCATAAGCAGTACAGTCATGTACTGGAAAATAACAGTCTGAAATGACCTCATTTTCATTTTTCAGTGATGAGACTTGCCATTCAGTTTCTTGTGCCCCTGTTTCAAAAGAGCAGCAGAGTTTTGAATCCAGATCCATCTGATTTAACTCCTGATCACCTGTGGCCTTGATGACTGGAATGAGAGTATCAGCTTTACTGAAAATTTCCATATCCCATTGCTTTTCCTTTATACGTTCTGTAGTATCTTCCTGGACATTTTCATTATATACTTCCCGAGCATCCTCTTCAATCAGAGGTCTCTCACTTACTTCTTCTTTGGTACAGATTCTGCTGCCACTGAAGTCATTGGAGGTTGTACCATTATATTCAGTGGGAGATGGATCTGGACTTTTGTGAAGTGCATTAATGTATAAATGATGGTCACATTCTGGGAAGACAATATTCTCCACCTCCTGATCATCACCCTGAAAACATAAAGTAAGTTGTTGTTCACAATTTTCATCTTTCCCCAGCCACTCTCCTTCAACTTCCATTTCCTTCTTATCCACATCATACACCATTTCTTCAACAAAATCTTCTGACTGATCATTCCAGGTCTGGTGTAGACCATCTCTTGCAGTTTGCGAGAGATCGGTTTCTTCTCTCTGGTCATTGCATTCTCCCTCTACCTTTAAACTGTTCTTGCACTCTGCCTTAGGAACAGTACCCTCTGGTTTCTGCTGAGTATCCTGATATGATACAGAGAGATCAGTACTTTGTGGTGTTTGTTGGTCATGGGTATCATATCTAAGGTTCAGATGTCCTAGCATCGGTAGATTCTGAAAAAAAAAAATCAGATCACATTCAGCGAGTACATTTTTAATAGCATAGGCTAGTTTCATGTGATGGATAATGACAATTTGTTTATCTTGAAGAATTCTTAAATATAAAAGGAACTCTTTTGTCTGGTGTTTGGGAACAGTCTGTGGTTGGTGCCTCTGTGGATGTACAAGCAATCAAGACTGCAATAAACAGTACATTTCCAAGTTAATACTCTCATGAAGACAAGATCATTTGTATTTTTCAAAAGGACTAACAGGCAGAACTAAAGACAAGCATCTTGCTTGTAAGGACAAAGCAAAAGGCAAAATGTCAGCCCTTATACTTCACACCTTCTCAGGTCTGTATCTGATAGGTCTTATCTACAACCAACTGATGTCAATTGACAGTCTTTTTGACCTCAGTGGGTTTTGGGGCAGGATGTAATATCACATCAATTTACACTGTTTCCACCTACACAATGCCAGTGCTGCCCAGGAGCAGAACATCTACCTGAATGGTCAGAGGCTGAGGTATGAAGCATAACCCATCTACCTGGGCATGATGCTAAACCGGACATTGAGCTACCATGAACTCGCGAAAAAGACAGCAATGAAAGTTAAGACACACAACAACCTCCTTAACAAGCTGGCTGGGTCATTGTGGAGCAGAAAAGCCTTATTCCTAAGGATGTTAGTTCTTCCCATCTTGTATTCTATTGCAGAGTACTGTTCACCAGTCATCACACACCAAACTCACTTATGTGCAGCTACATTCAACGATGTGTGCCACCTCAGGAACTCTTCGACCGACCCCTCTAGCACGGCTCCCGGTCCTGAGCAACATTGTTCCCCCTCATATCTGATGGGAAGTTGCAACTAGCAAGCTACTGGAGAAGATCTATGGCAATCCAAGCCTGCCGCTGTAGGACAATCTCTTAAATCCACCTGATACATGTCTACCATCACAATACCCACTGTGGCCCAAACTACCTCACCAGGACCACACTGTGGAGATCTCCTGGTGTGAGGGATGAAGGTCAATGTTACCAGCAAACAAGCTCCTTATCACAGATCCTACAGTCTGCCCACCTGGCTTCAACCTGCCATGCCATCAGCGGGCCTTGCTGAATAGGTTCTGGACAGGGCAAGGTCTGTGTGCAGCCAACCTCCACCATTGGGATCTTCACAACAACCCAGACTGTAGCTGTGGCAAAACACATACCATGTTGCATACTGTCAATGACTGCACACTGACTAAGCTCAGTGTAGGACTACAGGAACTGCATATGGCCACTGAGGACACCATGACATGGCTCAGTGATTACAATCAAGCTGACTGACTATCACATAAAACATCCAAATTTAAAAATTCCTATGATGAGCTTTTGGGATCATTTCTTAAGTAAAGTATTTGAACATGGATACTATAGAAACCTCAAATTGTACTATTGACTAAATGTTTTTGCCATTGGCAATGCATAGGTGGTGCACACAGGTGCATGTGCACCCCCAGAGATCGGCCGTGCACCCCCTGGAAGCACCAGCCATGAAACCAGAAGTGCCGCCTGAAGTGCCCTTCTGGTTTCACCACTGGCTTGGTGATCAGCTGCTGGAGGACCCCCCCCCCTCAGTCAGCAATTGGCAATTGGTGGCTGGGTGATACCCGCTCCATCGGCAGTCTGGTCCCCCCAGACCTGGGAGGCACCAGTCGCCCATGGTTTTTGCTTAAAGGTGCTAATGTCTATGTCAAGGAATATTTTGATACCAGGACAATTACAAAACTCATTAAAGTCAGTGGGCAAAGGAAGAATAATTCATTAAACAATTTTATATAGAAAGGCAGATGCAAACAATGAAAGGGCCAGGAGTCAGGGCAGCAAACAGGTTAAATTCCTCCAAGCTGGTCCTAAAAACTGAGTGAGCCTGGCCAGTTTCCTGACCTTGTCTGTTCCTGATCTCTTGGATTATGAACCTATCTTCTGATCGTATCCAAGCTAGGAAGCCTTCATTCAAAGCACTAGCCTGTAAAACACATCAGAACTAACCAATGTGAACTGAAGGATGTTTCTTATAAGAAATGCAGGAACTACTGCATTTACCTACTTGGCTCGCACTTGCAGGGAGTCAGTTAGAAGGCCAAGGCAGCAATGGAACTCAGCTAGCAACAAAAATTAAAGACAACAAAAAGTCCTTTTTCAGGTATATAGGTAGCAAAAAGAAGACACATGGTAACATAGGGCCCCTACAGGACAGGCTGGGACAATTAGTGATGGATAGGAGCGACAAGGCTAAGGTCTTAAATGAGTTTTTTGCATCGGTATTCCTGAGTACGGACAAAGACATATCTCCAAATTTGACCATAGACAAGCATAGCAGAGACACCGGGCCCACCAATGGCCAACCTACTGAAGGGACATTTGGAGGGGCATGATGTGTTCAGGTCAGCAAGCCCAGATGATGTTCACCCAAGGGTACTGAAAGAGTTAGCCAGTGTCACAGGAGAAACACTGGCAAGACTGTTTGAGCACTCATGGCACTCAGGACAAGTCCCAGAGGACTGGAAAAGGGCCAGTGTGGTCCCTATTTTCAGAAAGGGGAGGAAGGAGGATCCAGGGAACTATAGACTGGTTAGTCTCACCTCTATCCTTGGGACAACCTTTAAAAAAATTATTAAGGATTACATTTGTGGAAGCCCAGCAGGAAAAATAATACTGACGGGCAACCAGCATAGGTTCATAGCAGGTAGGTCCTGCCTGACAAACCTTGTTTCTCTTTATGACCAAGTCTCAAACTGCTTGGATGCAGGAGTCAAGATGGATGTCATATACTTGGATTTTTAAAAAGCCTTCGATACGGTGTCACATCCCATTCTCATAAAAAAACTAAGTGGCTGTGAGTTAGGTAATTACATGGTCAGATGGGTGGTGAATTGGCTAATGGGATGTGAGCGGTGAGTGGATGGGTTGGTATTACCCTGGAAAGATGTGAGCAGTGGGGTCCCCCAAGGCTCAGTCCTTGGACCAGTGCTGTTCAATATCTTCATCAGTGACTTGGATGAGGTTGTGGAGAGCACACAGTCCAAGTTCACAAATTACACCAAACTATGGGGCAAAAGAACGGATTCAGGCAGATTTGGACAGGCTAGAAAAGTGGGAAGAACAAAACAGGATGCAATTTAACAAGGATAAATGCAAGGTACTGCACCTGGGGAGGAGGAATCACCAACACACTTGTAGATTGGGAGATGGCTTTCTAAGCAGTACAGCAGCAGAGAGGGTTCGCAGAGTCATAGTTGACTCCAAGACGAACATGAGTCAACAATGTCACAAAGTGATCAATAGAGCTACTTGCGATTTATCATGCATTAACAGGTGCATCATGAACAGGTTTAAGGAGGTGATACTTCTCCTCTACCCAGCCTTGGTAAGACTGTAGCTGGAGTACTGCATCCAGTTTTGGGATCCGTATTTCAAGAGGGGTGTGGATAACCTTAAGAGGGTCTAGAGGAGGGCCACTTTTATGGTTAGGGGCCTGCAGGTAAGGTCCTACGAGGAGAGATTGAGGGACCTGGATCTCTTCAGGCTCCAAAAGAGAAGGCTGAAAGGTGATCTAGTGGCCATCTACAAGTTTGTCAGGGGTGCGGGGGGGGAGGGAAGGGAAGGGGAGGGAAGCAAGGAATAGGAGATACTCTGTTTGCTAAGGCACCCCTTGGAGTAACTAGGAACAATGGCCACAAACAAACAGAGAGCAGATTTAGACTAGACATTAGGAAGAACTTCTGTACGGTAAAGGTTACCAGAATCTGGAGTAAGCTACCAAGTGAAGTCATGCTCTCCCCTACTTTGGAGGCCTTTAAGAACTAACTGGACAAACACCTGGCTGGGGTTGTGAGACCCCAGTGCTCTTTCCTGCCCAAGGCAGAGGGTTGGACTCAATGATCTACTGAGGTCCTTTCTGACCCTAAAAATCTATGAAATCTATGAAATCTATTAAATCAATTTAATATATGAACTAGAACTGTAGCGGTATGCCGGACGCAGCAGGTGAGAGAAGAAGTCAGGAACATGACCTAGTGAAAGAACATAAACCAACCTTCTTGAGCGCACAGCCTACTGGACAAGTACACTCGAAATGTTTTATTAAGGAAACTGCTTGCTGATGGTTTCTTTCCTACTATATTCAGGGAAATTGGTTATTGTGTACTATGTTGATGAACCAACATGATAATCCCACCAAAATATACTTGATTCATGTGACTGATTTTTTTTTTCCATTTTAGTGGATATTACCTGTAAGGCCCTGAATACTAGCTAATGACTTTGGCTAAAGAGGCAACAATGTTAGAGACAAAAGATTGGATGAGGTTAACATCAAGTTTCTGACCTTGCATTATACTCCACTGGGATGAATTTTTTTTTTTTTTACCTACAACGAGCTCCCTTGTTTTCACAATAAATCTCAGGGAAATTGTATCTAATATGCTACTGCTTTTTTCATAAACCTGGTGTTTTTTTCATTTGGTTGATTTTTTTGAGGTGGGGAGGGGGAGGGTTGGGACTAATTTGGCCAGCAATGCAAACTTTTCACAAATTTCATGAAAGAGTATCATTAGCTCATTTACCTGTAAAGGTGAAGGCTCTGATGGTTCCTCCAAAAATCCACTGCTATCAGACTGGTAGCTGTTTGCTCTTGTAACCACAGCTCCTACAGGAGAAAAATAAGAGTAAGAAGAGGGACAGTCTAACGGCAAACTAGGGACAAATCAACTGATTTCAATAAAGACTTCCCTTGAAAACCAAAAGTAGGTAAACTCAGCTTTCCCCTGAAACCAATAACATCTTCAACAAGCAGAATGAATTATAACATGTACTTGGGATAGTGCAGAAATAACAGCTAGTATGAATATACTAGCAGTTTTAATTTTACATGTAAAGCATAAAAAAATGTATATACCTGATAAAAGCCACTTCTGCTGTTGTTTAGTTATTTCAGTTAATTCTTTGACTTTTGACTTAATTGTTATAGACTGTTTACGTCACATCTGATTCACCCTACTCATCTCACTAGTTCCAAACAATTCCAAAGGACAGATCTGATTAAGCTCAGCAGCAGTTGTTACTTAAGACTACCAGCCACATAATACTAGACATGTTTGTTAGCCAATATAATTTTGTTCCCAGTAAACTAGTACTTGATCAATTCACAATACAGGCTGCATCTTTATGCATATGTGGGAAGGCCAAATTTTTCAAAGTAGCCAGTGATTTTGGGGTTCTAACCTCGTCAGTGGATACAGCTGAGGATGTCAACTTGGGCACCCAAATATAAAGGGAACCAACACCAGTATATTCTTGAAAACTTAGAGTACAATTGATTTTAATTCCTAACTTTTCTCACACAGACCCTCAGAGGAAGCCTTCCCCTTTGCTTTCCCCAATTTTTTCTCCTGCTCTGCCCTGGAAACGTTTTCTAATCAAGCATTAGTAGATGCTAATTTTCCTACCCTGTCCTCCAGCAAAAAGTGCTGTCTGCTGGCCAACAAGACAGGGAGAGCCACACTTTCTTGTCTGCCTCAAAGATATGCTTCCACCACTTTTCTGCATGGGGCCCATTCATTCCCCATAGCAATTTCTGTCCATCTTAGTCTCAGAAATTCACTTTTCTCTAGCTGCTTCCTGACCTCAGGGAGCACTCAGGAAACTACAGTTAGCAGATGGAGAGCATTTCAAGTCATGGTTGAACAGGGTACCTAGAACTTGGGTCATTCAAGATTTACTCTGGGGAAATATTCTAATCCAGCCCAAACTCTAATCTGCTACTTAATCCTCCCTTTTGTCTAAAACAATACCCCCCAGTGACTTCCCACAACCTTTAGAATTAAACCGGATTGGATGTGAAACTAAGGATTAATTCATTGTCTCAAAAACTGTTCTAATTCCAGAACAAGTTAGACTCATTTGCATGCATTAGGAAACAAAAAGCAGAATACAAAAGATGTCTTCACAAAACAGCCTACAATGAATTTACAGCCTATTTTGACAACTGAACTAATAATCACTGAAAAAAAACCCATGCCATTTCTAATCTATAAATAAAAGCAATTGTAAAAGCAAGAACAAATTACTTATTATTACAACATCATAAATCATAGAGTTTGTCTTCTTGTCACTAACACATGAACCATCAATTTAGCAATTGTGTCCTCATTTCAGATAAGAAATACATGGCTTGCAACTTGCACATTCCATAATCTGCATCAAGATTGCTGAAAATGTCCTGCTTTATGGGTGGCTTCCAAATCCAACCTACCTGATTCAGGCAACTGTCATCACATTTCATCTACTCCAAAGAAGAAAATGTTCTGCTACTTCGTGAAACGTTTTTTTTTCAGATGCTTTAATCATTCAACTGGTGTTGACAGTTTATCAGACTGGCCTACATTCATTTGTATGTCATTAATAAGAAAATATTCAAAAGAATAGTAACATTCTGACGTGCCAAAATGCTTTAACTGCTGTTTTTTCAAATGTACAGTAGACTCAGACTGATATCCCATACAAAAACAAGTTTCCGCTTCCTCAAAAATATCCTGGTCTTGTAACCTTGAGAGCTAAACTACCGTGGGTTAGCTTTCCTTTACCCGTATCACAGAGTAGTAGATTCTCAGTAAATTCCTTCTCTTGTTACTTCATGGTAACTTGTTTTCATGTCTGTGACCTTTGTTTGCTCCAGCAAAATTCCCTTTTACTTCAGTGGAAATCTTCCTAAGAAAAGACTAAATAAAACTGCAATACCAACCCCCAACTATGGGCTCTAGGTAAGGATACATTTTTTTGAAAGAAATTATTGAAGGGTGCAAGCAAATTTAATTTAAACTCTACACATTTGAGCAAACTGGAAAGCATTATTATTCAGGGGCTGTAGTCTTTGCCTAAATCAGTAAAAGAAAATGTTATTCTTTTAAAATCAAGGTAGCTATTTCAAACTCACTGATTGCATTTGAGACATTGCAAGTGATTCGAGTAGACAGAATTTGATCCCCTTACACTGGAGCTGGGTTGGGGAGAAGGGGTACTATAGGCTAAATCTAGAGGCCAAGCATGCAACGAAAGAAAATGGAGGACTGTGTAACACCTGACTTACGCTCATTCCTTCCAACAGTGCTTATGTTGAATCTAAGAGGTGGATCTCTCTTGTGCTGGCCCTCTGTACAGGAATGGATTTTAGACTATCAATAGTGTACTAACTTCAATACTTGCCAATGACAGCTTTTAATAACAAACTCTATAAAGCAGGTGTTAGCTTGTAAGTAAATTCCTCTTTATAATACACAAGGCACACACTGGCTCCAAACTAGGCACTGAATCTATGTTAAGTGTCCAAAGTAAGTCTCCATCAAGCCTCTTAACCTCTACACCAATTTTCAAAAAGCATCCACATTGCATATTTGAGATGGTTTGGACTCATCCTGACTAACAGCTAAACCAGATTCAAGAATGGCTGAAGATTGTTTGCAGGGGCACAGGCTACTAAAAGTAATCTGTCATTTTTAGAGGTGGGCAACATTTTTCAGCAGATGACCATTTTGCCAAATGTTGCAGTTTTAGGATGCTTGAAACCTGGTAAATAATTCTGCCCCTAAAAAGCAAACAAGAGGCCAGGTCCAGAAGAGCAGAACATTTTATTTCAACATTTATAAACAAAGTATTTTGAAACTGAAATGTGTATTTTTTTATCTGAATTGATCTTAATTTAAGAAAAAAGGTGGTTGGCATAAGAAGTGTTAAAGAGTTTGAATAATAAAGAATGCCTTTCATGTCAGGTTGACCTAAAGTGATTTTTTCCCTAAATTCTCTTTTGCCCACTCTGCCAAAAATGCCATTATTAATATTAACTCTAGTCATTCTTCTAGGGGCGAAGGCTTTCAAACAGAGGATCTGATAGCACAGTTAGGCATACCAAAAAAGGAAGGTAGGGTGTAGGTACAGTGTAGGAATAGAAACAGACCATTTTTAACTATAAATTACAATTACAACTCAGATTATTGTGCAGAGAATGCACAAGGAAATGCAAAACTTGCCTGAGAAGACTGGTGAGGAAAGTTATGGCTCTAGCCTTTCTGTGCTAATTGGTACTCAGGAGGTTTTGCTATGAGATCCTATTCAAGTTTAGCATGAATTGAAAATAAAAGTAGACGATGATCATCAATTAATCTTGCGTCTGCTCTGCTCCTGTTGTGTCTTCCACAAGAAAGGATATATTTTCTAGGTACTGAAGCTCACTCTGGGTAAAAACAGGTCCCAGCAAGGACATGTGGGGTGGTGCAGGATGCGGGGAATTCCCATAGCCCTGTGCCTCCATGCTGAGATCATGCTGAGAATCATCTGGTTGCTGCACTGCCTGCACTTCCTTGCCAGGAACCATGTGGCCCGTGCCTCCGCACAAAGCACAGGTCAGTGCAAGTTGCAGCATGGAGGTACAGGACCGCACAGGTCTCAGCGTGGAGGCACAGAGCACCAGGAATGCCCTGGGTCTTGTGCCTCCATGTCGGGATCCACATGGGCTTTCCCTGCTTCTAAAGATGTGCCTCTGGAGATCCCCTGAAGCACATTTCTATGGACGTAATGCTATGGTGATGTAGCATCACCGCACGCTGTGGAGCCCCTGCGTTAAGGCACCCTGCACCCTTCCTGGCTCTGGCACAGTGTGCCTTGAGATGAGGGAGCAGGCAGCCCTGGGCTGGCTGCTCCCCTGTCTCTGTGTGCCTCAGTGTGGGAGCTTTGCTGCGAAGCCCCCATGCTGAGGCATGTGGACCCCTGCCTCGAGGTACATTGTGCCCCAGTCAACTAAAGAGTAGCTGGATGGGGTGCAGGGTGCCCCAGTACAGGGGCTCCACATGCCTCAGCCTGGGGGCTTTGCAGCGGAGCCCCTGCACTGAGGCATTCAGAGACACTGTCTTGAGGCACCCTGTGCCCCAGCCAGCCAGGAAGGCTGTCTGGGGTGCAGGGTGTCTCAACACAGGGGCTCTGCAGTGCATGGAGGCGGGGGAACAGATCTTCTTCAGCTCTTGCATGGTAATGATGAAATGCAAGTGACAATTTTTGCTAACAGCTTGGATGTTCTCTCTTCCAAAAAGGTAAGTAAACAAAACCAAACAGAGAAGCACAACAAACTGGAATGATTTATAATAAATTAGAGGCTAATTTTCAAACACATGTACGTAAATCCATGCCCAAGAGCTGAATAAGTGGGCATACATTTCAAAGGCTCTGAGAATCACCACTGCAAAAGAAATAATGAGGAATTACAAGTGCGCAGCACCTCCAAAACAAGTCACCTTTGATAAGGTGCCTTACTTTTGGCGCACAGATTTGAAAATGTTGGCCTTAACATTCCCATGTTGCCTTTGCGAATTATCCTGATTGTCAAGACACAGTATTATCGTCCCTAAAATTCAAGATGTTCTGCCTTACACAGTAGGCTAAAAGAAAGACAATTGGATTAATTTTGGAATAAGCATTGGAATAGGTACACACTTCCCTCCCTATCTGCAGACTTTGGGTATTGAAGCTTCCTCTGGCACCTCTGTCCCATTCACATGTTGTAGTGTGGTACGTAAATTGTCTCTCAGCAAAACAGTTTTATTGTTTATTCACCGTCAATCAAGAGGAAATTCCTACCTAATCACCTCTCACTATCTCAGT